TTTCTTCCTTCCTTCCTTCCTTCCTTCCTTCCTTCCTTCCTTCCTTCCTTCCTTTCTTTCTGTGGTTTTTGCTATTGGATGCTTGTGCTCACCAGAAAGACAAGAGAGAGACAGAGAAACAGGAAGTGAGAAATCTCACCCAGGGATGATGGCCAGTCATCAGTCCCTTCTCCTCCATTCTCCTCTCAGGATCCTAGGCACGCACGCACACATATCTGGCATGAGTTTAAGCCACCGGGTTCAGGACTTGAACCGCGGTCGACTACATGGGAGTCCAGTGACATAGCCATTACGCCAGCTGCTGGTCTCGATTTTCTATTAGCTTTCCTGTTTGTTTACAGAAGCAGTTTAGAATATTTAAAAGAATAGAATATTTAAAACCACTGTTGGTTTAGAATATTTAAAAACCACTGTTCTGCCTTACAGGTTTGAGTGTCTTAACTAGTTGTCTCATTTATTGAATGTGCTCAGCAAGCCTATATTGACTACTTCCTCTTTTATTTGCCTGGTTTATATGAAGCCTTTATTATGTGAAACATTGGGGTTACTGAGATGAACTACAGTTAATACTCCACATAACCAACTGTGGACTGCTTTTATGACGATGGTCCCTTAAGATTTAATCATGTAGCCTATGTATATAGTATGCTGTACCATCTAGGTTTGTGCCAAGTATACTCTATGATGTCTGTACAAGGAAATCTAATGATCCATTGCTCAGAATATATCCTTGTAGTTAAGCAACATACAATTATACTTGGTCTGTCCCTTTCCTCACTTTCCTTCAAGGGACTGTGTTTCCAGCTGCCCAAGGCTGTTGCACAGTCTGTTCTTCTTCTTCAGCCTTTCAGATTTAGGCCAAATGGCAGTCACCCCTAGCCTCCCTCTTTCCTCTGTACTAGATCATATACCCCAGTTTGGGGGGATATGATCTTTGCCTTCCCTTTAGAACAGTTAATTAATTTGCAGTTTTATATTCTCTGGTTTGATGAGTATTTTAGCCCCAAATTCTAGACTATGAGAGTGGAGATTTTATTCCTATACTATTGTCTTTCTGGCATTTACCAGATCAGTGTGGTATACTGGGCGTGTAAAAAGTGTTTGTCCCGTGAGTGAAGGCTTTAGAACAAAGTTTTTTGCATTATAAGAAAGGTCTCCCTAAGTGAACAGTGATTCTAAGATTTCTTGTACTAACAAAGGGATGAATGTGGAAAAGAGGGCTTTTCAATCCAAGGCAAAATGTGTAAAGATCTTTCATGGCAAAATGTTGTAAACTAGTATGACCTATAAACAAAAAGCAACTATTTCTTACAGTTCTAGAATCTGAGAAGTCTGAGGTCAAGGCACTAAGACATTTGGTGGTCTCCTGAGGGTCCTGTTCTCATATGAGATGCCTATAGCTGTGTCCTAATAGGCATAGCTGATTTGTGGAAAGACCACAAAGAGCAGAGTGCTTCACGTGGGGAGTGTTGTTATATTGGAAGCAGCAGAATAGATAACTACCTGAGAATATTAAATATCAAAGGGAAGAAATAGTGATATTCTAAGAAACCAAAATGAGTAAATTAGGAATTTTCTAGTTTTATTTTATTTTTAAATGTGCATTTAGGACCAGAGAGACTGTGGGAGTGAGAGTCCGTGCAGGAGTGTTTTCTCTGTAAAGATTATATTTACTCATTTACAACTAATTGAGTGCCAAATCATTTTTATATTAGCGCGCGTGTGCACACACACACACACACACACGAATAGATATATTTCTCTGGTTTTAAAGGACATTCACAGGTATTGGGTTATTTGATGTTCTATGAACCCATTTTATACATTAGCTCAGACTTGTAGCAGCTTGCCCCAAGTCTCTTAATGAATGATGTCATGATGTCAGTGTCCAGACTGAAGCCAGGCCTTTTGGTATCTCATTGAGTTCTGTACTACCTGTAGGCATAGACATACCAGGTTATGCTGGCCTAGAATTTCTACTGATCACCCATCTCCTACCTATTCCTCCATCCCAAAATGCACACAAGAATAAGTGAAAAGTTGCTTTTGATTTTGCTGATAATATTATTATATTTTGCAAATAAGATGGAAATTAAGAATGCTCAGAGGAACATGTATTTATAAAATTATAGTGCATTAAGGAAATATTTTAATCATTTGAAGTGACAATTTCTTGCTTACTTGATCATATCCATGTGGCCTTGGTGTGTTCAGCTTTGTGCTATTTCTTTTGAATTGAGCATGCATTTAGTGCTCTTTCCCAAAATGTAATTGATGTATCAGCTTGGGAAGTGAGTACCTTGAGCTTCTTTGGAGACTGTCACTGAATCACACAGAAAGCCAGTATCCCAGTGTCAACTTGGGAAGTGAGTATATTGAGCTTCTTTAGAGAATGTCACTGAATCACACAGAAAGCCAGTATCCTAGACAGCAGTGAAATTGTTGTTAATGGAAAGGTATGCTTTACTTTGTTGAGTTATATGTTTAACAAGAATAGAAATGGTATATTTGTAGTGGCGCTAGGGGTTCAAAAAATTGAGGGCCATGTGTCTTATTTGTAGGTATTCTCATATTTCAATTTCCTTATCCTCTTCCTCCTTTCTAGGAACCCTGTATTTTGAGTATGACCCTAGATAGATATGTAACCACTGCTTCCTTTTCCTTCTCCTTTTTTCTGTAGAAAGATGTAGCACTTAAGCCTCAGGAACGTGTGGAGAAACGCCAGACCCCCCTGACGAAGAAGAAACGAGAAGCACTTACCAATGGCTTGTCCTTTCATTCAAAAAATAGCAGACTCAGCCACTCCAACCACTACAGCTCCGATCGAGAAAATGACCGCAATCTCTGCCAGCACCTGGGGAAGAAAAAGAAAATGCCAAAGGGACTGAGACAGGTGAGGATTTTGTTCTTTTTTATGGTTGCAAAAATCTCTTCCTTAGGTGCCTGCTCCCTTCTGGCTTTTCCTGACAGGTGGAGAGGATAGCTTGGGATCTTGTGTGCTTGTCTGAAGATTATAAATCCCAATCTAAGTTTTTTTATTTTTGTTTTTAAAATGTGAAATTCCATCATGGTACCTTTGCGTTCTATACATCAAATCTTGTTGCTGGTGCTGTTGGTGTTTAGGACAGACTAAAGTCTTGACATTTGTCAAGAAGAATTGAAATGGAGAGGAGATTTCTTCATAATTAGGACAAATGAAACAGATTTGATTACATACATGTGTATGTCATGGTTCTGGAGGTGCTATAAAATGGTCATTTGTGTGAGTAGGGCCTTGCGTGAGATTTAAAATTTCCAGGAAAGCTCAAATATTATGACATGTTGGAGAGCTGTGGCAGAGTCGAATTTGCCTTCCGTTGTCTTGGTTGTTCCATAGCCCATAATTTAAGACTATCTTTGTGATCTGCTGATTATATGAGAGTCTGGTAGTGAGGCTTACTGGCCTGTTAATAATTAGGTTTTAATGATCCACAAAAAATATAGCTTGAGGCATTTGGGAAGCCTTTCTACCTGTGGAAATCCCCACATGAGATGGATTCGTAATGAGAAATGAAGCTGTTGATAACAGCTTTTTTTTTCCCCCCTGCACATTTCTAGAGATTTTAGTGCCTGCAGAATTACTTATGCCTTGGGTATGTTTTATTTATTTTTGGTGGGACCACTGGGTGGGATTGACTATCACTTGAAGGATGCCAAGGAAGGAATTGTGGTTCACAGAGCAGGTGCTGCTAATTAGAAGCTGAACAGGTAATTTCTAGTTTGCAGATGTTTCTCTACAAACGGGAAAGATCTGGGAGAATACAAAACAGTAGTTCTAAAATCTCACAGATCATTACAGTCGTATTATGAGCTTTACAAAATACTAATTCTTGGACTGTCCCTATGATCTAATGGAGTTTTTAGTTTTAGGAAATTTCTTATTTGATAATGATCAGCTTAATTTGGAATTCATTGTTATAAAGCAACAACAGTGTGTTTTGGATGATGATTTTATTTAAAGACTACAAGGATCAAAAGGTTTAATAAGATGTGGTGGGAAGTTTGACATCAGAGTTCATCCTTATGGGTAATGAAGGATGTACTTCTGAGATAACAGCTGGAGTGATAGATTTCAGCATGGATTCAGAAAGGCCCCAGGATAATGGCCCAAATCTGACACCCAGGACAGTATTTCTGAAGGTACACATGTGTTCTGAAATGCCACACTGGAGTTATAATAGTGCAGACCCTTCTTATCCATGATTTCACTTTCCATGATTTCAGTTAACTGCATTCAACCAAAAATATTGTAGATGAGTACATTGAAGTTTGACATTTTGAGAGAAAGAGTATTTGAATGCATATTCATGAAACTTTATTATAGTGTATTTTTGTAATTTTATTTTGTTATTTTTGTTAATCTTGCACTTTGAGTAGTGTATAAATTAAACTTTACCATAGGTATGTATGTATAGGGGAAAAAACATAGTATATATACAGTACTATCTGTAGTTTCAGGCATTGATTGGAGGGGTCTTAAAACATAGCCCCAGTGGATAAGGGGGTCTATTGTAATTACTAGCATTTACTTAGTTTATACCATGCTATTAGTGAGGCAGTTTTTATAGTATAAACTGCAATTTATACAACTCTGCCTAGTAGATTGTATCAATGGATATTTTACAGATGTGGAAAATGGGCTTGAAGAGAAGAGGTGACTTGTCTGAGGCTACTTAACTTTGAAGAGCAGAGCCACAGTTTAGACCCAGATCTGTCTGGCCCCATAGCTTGCTCTGCTCCTCAAACATTCTGCCTCTCTTGTTTTAAATGACCATTGGGCATGAAGAGAGAGAATTTTAGTTCAGAGTATGGAAGGAGTCTACATGTTTTTTTAGAAACTATTTGAGTAGTTTTTTCAGGGTGATTTTGGTCATAGATATGGCCTATGATGGCACAAAAAGTTTTCTTTCATTTTAAAAAATAATAAGTTTTTAAATCATTATTATTTTAACTTGCTGCAGGACACATGTATTCACCAGAGAGAGATACAGAGAAAAAGAGAAAGGGAAGTGAGAAAGCAAGCCTTTAGGACCAGGACTTGAACCACGGTCAGCATTGTGGGAATCCAGTGCCTTAACTACCATGCCACCTGCCAGCCCCATTTCTGTGCAAAAATGTGTTGTGACTACAATGACCTAATACTAAGTTCAGAGGTCAGAGAAAGACTTGGGAAGTTTGAAAGTAATCAAACTTAGATGAAGGTATTTTTTTGATAAGAAGTTAGGTAAGAGAGGAAAGGCTAACTCTATAAATAATGTTCCTCCTATGATATTTGTGACTTATGTGAGAGATGTGAGAAACAAATTCCCAGTAGAGAGAGATTGCATTATAACCATCACCTCTTCCCTAGGCCCTTCACAACCGGACAGGGAGTCTCCTTGCCATTTTACGCAAGAAATAAATTTAAGTCTGAGCTAACACTAGGCTTTGGATCCTCATCCTTAAATCTCTTTCTCCCAGAAGTGATTTGACTGCTACTTTCTGTGCTAAAATTTCTCTTCTACTTTGTGAAGCTCTAATTATTGCACAATCCTAAAATGGAAGTTTGATCATAAAAGAAGACTAGAACTTGTGGGTCTCAAATTTGAATAACTTTTGGTCTTAATAGTCAACCTTCTGGTACTAATGGTATTTGAAATCAAAAGGATCCTTGTTTTTTGGGGGGGAATATATATATATATATATGTGTGTGTGTGTGTGTGTGTGTGTGTGTGTGATATATATATATATAAGAGGTTTGTGCTATAGCGTGTGTGCGCTCACCAGAGAGAAAGACAGAGACAGAGAGACAGAAAGCAAGAAATCACCCACCAGGGGGGATGGCCATGCTGCAATCCCTTCTCCTCCATTCTCCTCTCAGGATCTTGGACATGCATGTACATGAGCCCAGTGTGAATTTAAGCCACCGGGTCCGGGGCTCGAACCGCGGTTGACTATATGGGAATTCAGCAACATAGCCATTACGCTAACTGCTGGCCCCTAAGGAGAATATTTTTAAAGTGGACTCTTAATGAATCATGGAGAAAGAAAGAATAAATCTTCTCTTTGACCTGTGTAAGGTCATTAAAAACAAATGATGTTTCTTATCTGTAGTATTGATGCCAAAGTAAACCATCCAGTCAAGTGTTATAGTTCTAGAAAGAAGGAAAGAAAAAGTTGGTAATTGAGTCAAGGTCATAATATTTTTCATTTGTTATATTCTTAGAATCACATATAGTATTATGAAACCCTGAACAAATTACTGTCTGAAGCTACCCATATAGAGAATGATTTGGAATGAAAGATTTCTTAGGCTCTTCCCTTTGAGTTTCATGGTTCTTATTAATTCATTCATTTATTAATTTTTTTCTGAAGGGTGCATATGCTTGCCAAACAGAGAGACAGGAGCCAGGGGATCAGTGGAAGTGGTGTAGAGAAAGCCCTTCACATGGGGAATGGTCATGCTAAAAATCCCTTTGGTTCATTTTTTGGAATTTTTGGGCACACGCACACATGTGCCTGGCATGTTTCTCACGTTGCCAGATCCATACTTGAACCTCACAGAAGGCCATGTGGGATCCAGCTGCCCTAACTCCCAGGCCATAGAGCTGGTCCATGATTCCTTAAATTTATAAATAGCATAGAGGTCAGCAAAGCAAGATCATAGTAGGTCTAAAGGTCATTTTTTATTATACTTTTATCAGCCTGTAACTGATAGACTCTGTAAAAACATTTAAAGGAAATAATAAGATGTATTTGTTGTGGAAGAGACTTCATTGTTGTCAGTGCAGACAAGTGCCATCCGCTGTGTGATCATTGGTAAAAGAGAACACTTAAGTATTTAATAGCTTAGTGGATCTTGAAAATCTTGTCCTGAGAATAGTTGGGATTGCTTTCGTATCATGCTACAATAGATGCCTATACATGTCCAATTACCTTTCCTCCTGCCTTTGCCGTTTATTAGATAAAGTAACTGAATTTGACCCTTGTAGCTGGGAGGGGGACCTTGAGATGTGAGTGAGCCTTGAGCATTTCTAAATTAATGGATTGTCCTTTAGTGCCTTTTATTTGAGGGAATTATAATCTGCAGAATTACAGATGAATGAGGCAGTAGGAGGTGAGAATTTAGTCTTACTTTCTGACTCCGTGAGAGTGAGTTAGGTTGCATCTTATTAAAAAATGGTTCTTCCTGAGCAGGCAACTTAATGCACAGCTTTCCTGTAATTATGGGAAGATGTTACTCTTTAGTAGAAAGGAAATAATAGGAATTTTTCCCCCTTAAGAATCTGTTGAAGGCAACTAATCTTTTCACTTTGAGAATGCAATTATATACTTTAAAAAGAAAGAGGTGTAGTTCTAAAACCAAACTGCTGCTTCTTTCACTTGTCTTCCTCAGTTCTTGTAATGTTTTCTCATATTGTCAAAAGAAAGCTTTTTAAATGGCACTTAACTTATTTGTTGAATTATGTTGTTAAGTATAAATACACATTGACTTAAAGATGCTGAGCTGGCAACTCTTTGGCAAATGGTTGCAATTTTTTTTTTGATATGTTGAATTTGAACACTCCCTTTAATTCCCCAAGGGGGTAAACAGTGATGAAGAAGGGAGCATGTTACCTGTTGGAGAAAATTGTGTATGTTTTTTCTGATCTCCCTAAGGTTATTTTTGTCCTACAGAGGACTGTTTGCTTACGATGCGAGCATTTCAATGTTAAATTTAAAAAGTTTAGCTTTTATTAATGAGGATATGATAGATTCTGCTTCCCCCCACACACATTTAGACTTGGGCTGGGAAAATCAAAACAAAGATAGCACAGATTCTCTCTATAAGGATCTATATTCTCTAACTGGGAGAATAAAATAACATGGAAACCA